GTTGACTGGGTGGCTCAGCTCCATCAAGGCCACGTCGTTGAAGTGGGTGCTATCTCTGTATTGCTGGTGCTCCACCAGGTTCTTGATGGTGCGTTCCTGGACATCTGGGCCAGGCCGGGAAAGCTGAGTGGCACCTAAGACCAGCTTCCAGTGTTCTAGGTATCTGGAGCAGAGAAGGAAAAAGGAGGCTGTAACCACTGCATATGTGAAGCTGGGAAAAAAAGGCGTGATTAAACTAAAACTAAGAAAGACTCACAAGGAGATGGAGATGGTTTATGGACTTTATTACAGGGAGCTAGGAATCAAAAAAAGTGGCTGAATCTGCATGTGTTTTCGGCTTCTGGGAAGGTGCTCAGACAGGAGGAGGAGGAGGAAGAAGAGGAGGAGGAAGAGGAGAACTAAGAAGGATGGAAACTAACCAAGGAGAGAAGCAACCTAGAACTAAGGATAAACTTCCTGACAGTGAGAACAATTAACCAGTAGAACCACCTGCCTCCAGAAGCGGTGAATGCTCCAACACTGAACGTTTTTAAGAAGAGACTGGACATCCACCTGTCTGGAATGGCATAGGGTCTCTTGCTTGAGCAGGGAGTTGGACTACAAGACCTCTAAGAAGTCACCCAGGTGGCTTTCATCTTAAGGCAGGACTAGAACTCACCGTCTTCCACTTTCTAGTCTGGTGCTTTAACCACTAGACCAAACTGGCTCTTATTTCTCAGGTTGGAAAAGATTGCTATAGTTTTCTTTCGAGAGGTGGGCATGCTGACGTTGACTGCAAACCTACGTCTGAAAACAATTAAGAAAGGATGGAAATTTCCCTGCTCAAGCCTGTTCAGATGTCATGTGTGTAATGTACACACTTAAAGGAGAGTGTAGAAATGCAGGAATTACACAAATGAATATGTGCAGAGAAGAACAACAAAGATGATTAGGGGGCTGGAGGCCAAACTGTGTAATGAATAGTTGCAGGAGCTCAGACTTGAGTCCTTGGTATGCAGAGAGAGGTCCAGGATGGGTCTTCCCTAAACCTTCAAAGGATTTTTCTGATGGTTATTCAGATAGTTGCTTTAGTCTGGCAAGACTCCTGTCTGTAGGCAAACAGCAATAAAGAAACTACTCCGAGCCATTCAGTGAGTTGTTCTTGATTCCTTGTGCCTGACCATCTCCATCTGCAAATCTAACCAGACACCCCAACTCAACTGGTCAGTCCAGGAGGACCTTCCTTCCCTCACCTTTTATTGAGGAAGCAGTGGGCTGCTGTGATGACCCAGCGAGAGCTGATGAGGGACCCCCCACAGGTGTGCCTGTAGCCAGTCATGGTAGGTATCTGGATGCTGACAATCCAAGGCCAGGTTCCTGGGAGTGTATCGATGCCACCCACGATCCGCAGGTTGCTACTGTGACTGGAGGCCAAAGGACGGCGGCCACAGATGTCACTAGGAAAGAGAGAAATGTTGGTTCTAAGTGAGATATTTACATTTTGATTCCAGATTTTCCCGCTGTAGGAGAAGAGCAGGCGGAGCTGGGGAGCTGAGTTAAGCAAGTCATCAGTCTAGAGTGATTACATTCCCACAAACAGTTTAAGTCCAAACATTCTTGAATTTTGTTGGCCCTTATCTGGTGCCAATTTAGTACTGAATTTTAGTTGTGTATAGGCTTAAGCAATCAGCCTCCTGAACTTCAACTTAATGTATGGTCCTGATTCTTTGCACCTGACACCCACATAACAGCAGCAGTTACGTAACCCAGAATCGGATTTGTAAGATAGACAGTTATCTATCAATAAATAAGCTGGTCATCAGCTGATCATCATCACAGTTTGCTATGGATGCTGGAGATGGCATGGTTGCTGTCTTGAAGCCTACAGAAGGAGGAGACATGACTCTTTCTTCCACGTAAACCCAATAAACACAATGTCAGCCACCCCAACTTAGTCAGTTAGAAAAGAAAGACTCTTGGATCCATTGTTAACAAAAGTACGCATTACTAAAGCCAAGTGGTTACAAAGTGGCAAAGCCGGATCTGAAGTTTCACGTCCAAAGCATCTGCTTAACCTTTTCCTTCTCCCCACCCTTGCCCTGGTTGTTTTACACTGTCCAATTACATTCAGACAAATTGTTTTGGTAACAGTCTCTTGCCTGGCAGACTGGATGGTGTCACGTTCCATTCCATGACCTTGGAAGGGCTAGCAGTTCCCATGGGATGGCACAAATAATATTTTCAATTCCTCTCATCCCAGCTTCCCTTCCACCTCCCTGAAACTCCCTCCCTCTGTTGTCTGTGGCAGGCTGGTATCTGGCTGGTGTAGCAGGATGACAGTTCCGACACACCTAAAGACCAAGGATAGCGTTCTCCATCACAAAGATTCAAGAGAAGCTGTACGGCATTCATCCACCTGAAAGCAATGGCTGATGGGGAAACTACTCAGAGACGGCCATTGCTCCTTCCTCTACTTATGGTCAAGCGAGTCCTGCTTAGACTCCAAGGAATCTGGGGATACAGGAAGCGAACTGAAGCCTGGGAAGACTGCCGCAACCCGCCTTGCATGCGCAATGGGGACATCTGATGTAAGGGAGGTCTGAAGTTCCCACGGTTTTCCTCTGTGGGCCCAAGTGCCACAGGTGATGGATCTGGAAACGTTCAGCAGGCCTGACCAGAAAAGTCAACTCTGTTGAGGAACAGGCATCGTAGAGCATTAAAGCCGCTTCATCTGAGCACCCCCTGGATTTGACATGACTCACCCGCATCCATTATCGTATGCATGCGTAGACCGTATCAGAAAAAGGACCAAAATATGAAGAGGTAGCCACTTCATCCTACATGTCTCAAGAAGTGCTCAGTTCCATCTTGGGCTTACGACATTCCTCATGACGTCACAAAACACAGACTGCTTGCCTTCCTCCAATCAGCATTCAGCCAATATGACATCACACCAGCTCCCTGCTTCCTTTCCAGAGGACACCCCCCAGTGAGAGTTCTCCAAGGGGCTGGCCTGGAGCCTGGTTGCTTAGCAACTAAGGTTGACAGGCAGTAGGCAAACTCATTTGATTTTCCTGCTATAGAGTTGGTGGTCAGAGTGATATTTCCAGTAAGATTCCAAACTCACCTCATGAGTCAACAAGAGAACATTCAGTGGGTTGGGCCCTACTGCTCTTGGTAGCACCCCTAGTAAGAAGTACCAATGGGTGGACAATGATCCTCTTAGATCCAGTACCCTTTAATATCTTCATTAATGACTTAGATGACGGCATTGAAGGGGAACTCATCAAATTTGCAGAGGACACCAAGCTGGCAGGAGTAGCCAACACCCCAGAAGACAAACTTAGGATTCAAAAAGATCTTCACAGACTTGAACAAGGGGCCCTGTCCAACAAAATTTGTTGGCCCTGTCCAACAAAATTTAATGTGGAGAAAAGCAAGGCTTGACACCTGACAGGAAAAACCAAAGATACAAATACAGATTAGGCAAAACCTGTTCAAAAAAAGTAACTGTGAGAGGGACCTTGGAGTCCTAGTGGATGATCCCTTAAACATGAGTCAGCAATGTGTGGCAGCAGCCAAAAAAGCTAATACAGTCCTTGGTTGCATAAACAGAGGCATAGAATCAAGATAACACAAAGTATTAGTACCGCTTTATAAAACCCTAGTAAGACCACACCTGGAATGCTGCAGCCAATTTTGGTCACCGTATCACAAAAAAGATGTTGAGAGTTTGGAAAAAAATCAGAGAAGAGCAACTAAGATGATTCAAGGCCTGGAGTTTAAAACATAAGAAGAATGGCTGCAGGACTTGGGTCTGGCTAGTCTAAAGAAAAGAAGAAACAGGGGTGGCATGATAGCAGTGTTCCAGTATCTGAGGGGCTGTGAGGTGGATTGGGCTGGGAAAGAGGGACCGGCCAAGTCAGCCAGTGGCTTCTGTGCCTGAAGTCTTGAATGTAGATTTCCCGCTGGGCCAATCACCTTGACCCCTAGTGAAACTGGCTGTTATAGCTCCAGGAGGGGAATGCATATATATGATTTTCAACATAACTTAAGAGTCCAGAGAGTTTTCCATTTTGTACAGGCCAATTGTCAGCTAGCTCAAATGGCCCAGCTTTCCCCCAGGCCAACAGCAATTCACTTTGGAGAAAGAGACCTTGCTGGTTTCTTATTGGTTTTCTTATTTTTCTTTTTCAGTGGTATTGTGGTGGACTGGGCTTTTATAATCAGAGTTTCTCAGGTATCTTGAATTGTTTTCCCCTTTAAGATTTTCATCCATGAAATTTTTCTTAGGCTCTCTCTAAGTTTGTTAAAATCAGCTCTTTTGAAGTTTAAGACATTGGTTGAATTATTTTCTATTGCTTGTGTTTGCATTATATTGAATTCCAGTATGACGTGGTCACGCTCCCCCAAGTTTCCTGCAGCATTAACCCCTCCTCCCTATCATTTCATCTCTGTTAGTAAGAATTAGATCTAGTATAGCTTTTCCTCTAGTTCCCTCCTCTACCTTTTGGATTTCAAAATTGTCAGCTAGTCTTCTAAAGAACCTGTTCCCTCTCCCGCTCGCTGCAGAGTTTGTCTCCCAGTTGATATCAGGGTAGTTAAAGTCCCCCATTACTACTGTGGTATGTTTCCTACATACATCTATTAACTGGTTAGCAAAATGTTCATCTATTTCTTTTGCTTGGTAGGGTGGCCTGAAGTATACACCTATGACAATGCCTTACTTTGACATTGTCATAGTCTATATTTTGACACAAGCACCAAAATTCTTGTCGGTGATCTTTGTCCAACTGTTTAGGATCAGAAAGAGGTAAAGCAGCTGCAACCAACACAAGCAAAATCAATGCGAGTCTAGTCCATTTTTACAAAAATTTATTCGAAGTATATGTATTTTAATCACCTGTTATATTCATTGGATCGCTTGAGAAGCTCCATTGCACAGAATACTTCATCTGCGCAAGGGAGGACTCCTTAAGCAAACAAAGGGGGTCACTGACCAGCAACAGTTGAGTCTGGGATCAGGTCTGAGAGTGTGGGCGCTTGAAAGGCCAATTCTTGGGCCAGTTTGAACCCCCACTGTAGCCATAGTAGGAGCCCAGCGTGATAGTCTTGGAAGGTCGCTTGCGCTTGGGACGTGGGACTTGCGGCTGAGGAGCTTGGGTCGTGGTGAGGGTGGTGGTGGTACTGGTTTCAGTGGTGGCTTCGGTGGTGGCTTCGGTGGTGGCTTCGGTGGTAGCTTCGGTGGTGGCTTCAGTGGTGGCTTCGGTGGTGGCTTCCGTTGTGGCTTCCGTGGTGGCTTCCGTGGTGGCTTCCGTGGTAGCTTCCGTGGTGGTGGTGGTTGAAGTGGTCATCAAAGAGCGGGTCATATTCTCAGTCTGTAAGTAAGGCCATGGATTTCTCAGTGTTTTGATGGATTGTGGTTGAAGGGATGGTGGCTCTGGGTTTTGCGTGGATGTCATCTCTGTTTTGGAAGTTGGCTGGGTTTGCAAAGATATTTCTTGATTCCTCGGCATTTCTTGGGGTGGAGGTGGGCTTGTTTCTTCTGTGGACATTGTTGCTTTAGGTGCCGATGGACTAGACGTGGTCAGTGATGTTGTCCCTGGGAGCACCTGTGGCCCAGGGGCGACCATCTCGTGGGTGGTCTTTTCATTTGTGTAGCCTAGGATCCAGTCATAGAAGTTCTGGGTTGAAGTATAGACCCCAGGCTTCTGGGCCCTGGCACAGCCCAGTCCCCAGGCGGTCACTCCCACGATCCAGTAGCGTTCAGTCCGGTTTTCCCGACACATCAGAGGCCCTCCGCTGTCACCCTAGAGTAGGGAGAAAGAAGGAGCCGTGAAGGGTCCCACCAGGAAGAGAAGTGAGGAACAAAGATATGAGCTTGCTGGTGTGTTGGCTGATGGACAGGAGATGCAATAGAGCATAGAGCATAGAATAATAGAGTTGGAAGGGGCCTTGGAGGTCTTCTAGCCCAACCCCCTGCTCAAGCATTTCAGATAAATGGTTGTCCAGTCTCTTCTTGAAAGCCTCCATTGATGGAGCACCCACAATCTCTGAAGGCAAGCGGTTCCATGGGTTGATTGGCCCTGTGTACATAGCCAATCAACCAATATGGCTTTGTGTAGACCAGGGGTCTTCAAACTTGGCCCTTTTATGACTTGTGGACTTCAACTCCCAGAATTCCTCAGCCAGGCACACGTGCCTGGCTGAGGAATTCTGGGAATTGAAGTCCACAAGTCATAAAAGGGCCACGTTTGAAGACCCCTGGCGTAGACTATAAATCAGGATTAATCTCCTGACAACCATATTGTATACTGATGGAAGAGAATATTTGTAGCCCAGGATTGAACTGTGAAGTTATTTTTATTTATTTATTTATTTATTTATTTATTTAAAAAACTACATTTATTTGCACTATTTGTAAGGGACCCCAAACAGTTATAACACTGGATGGCAAGAAAAAACAAGTAGCTCATAAAACACATGGATTTTTTTTATATAACATTTTCCTAAGGATTACCTACATCTGAGATGAATGCTCAGAATCAATCAATCAGAACAACAGCCCAGCATGGGTGTGGGTGTAACCTGCTCACACACCTGGCAAGTGTCAATTCCTCCTCCTTCAAATCCGGCACACAGGTTGCTGATGGAGATGCTTCCGTAGTACCAGTTGCTGCTGTTGCATTTCTCTGTGGGTACCAGGTCCACCTTGGCCTCCTTCAAGACATCTGATGGAGCCTTGTCTGCCAATGAAAAGAGAGTTGCTGAATTTTTTCGCGCACATTTCTTTGCTGACAGAAAAGAATACAATGTTTGTAGCTCAGGGCTGAACTGTGGGGGTCCCTGGTGCTCTCTGAGGTGGGTGGTTTTCTTGCAGACATTTCATGACCCAACTAGGAAACATCATCAGTGCTAGAAGGGAGGGGGGGTTGCAGAGAAGAGGAGGAGGAGGAGGAGGAGGAGGAGGAGCAGGAGGAGGAGGAGGAGCAGGAAGAGGAGGGGAACTGTGGGGTCCCTGGTGCTCTCTGAGGTGGGTGGTTTTCTTGCAGACATTTCATGACCCAACTAGGAAACATCATCAGTGCTAGAAGGGAGGGGGGTTGCAGAGAAGAGGAGGAGGAGGAGGAGGAAGAGGAGGGGAACTGTGGGGTCCTTGGTGCTCTCTGAGGTGGGTGGTTTTCTTGCAGATGTTTCATGACCCAACTAGGGAACATCATCAGTACTAGAAGGGAGGGGGGAGGAGCAGGAGAAGGAGCAGGAGGTCCTTGGTGGGTTTCTTGCAGACATTTCATTACCCAATAAGGAATATCATCAGCACTCTCTCCCTTCTTAAAAACTCCCAATGTTGGAGCATTCACAACCTCTGGAGGCAAGTGGTTCCACTGGTTAATTGTTCTCACTGTCAGGAAATTTCTCCTTAGTTCCAGATTGCTTCTCTCCTTGGTTAGTTCCCATCCGTCGCTTCTTGTCCTGCCCTTCTGGTGCTTTGGTAAATAAGTTGGCCCCCCTCTTCCTTGTGTTCACGCTTGAGGTTCATGACTTCCAGGGAGTAGGGGAGTCAGAAAGGGCAAGGTGGTGTTTGCAACTACACAACTGAAGCCCTGCCCCTTGACGTCACATAAGCTATGTTGTAAGAAAGGGATATGGCTTTGATCTGGTGCCTGGGACTTGGGTTATCTTCTCCATGGAGATGTCCTTCCAAGTCCCTCATTGGACCTCATGCTGCAAATTTTGATCTTTGTGGGGCAACTGATTATTTGCAAGAGTGCCTTCTATCCTCCTCCCCCATCCCTGTGGGCGGAGGCTTCAAGAGAGGAATTAGCCTGGACTTGCTACGTAAAACAAAGGAGCAAGTTCTGACCCTCCCTTGAATGGTTTGCAGCCGTGTCTGGTCTTTCCCGAGTGAAAGCTGGGAAGATTCCTGTAATCTAGGCAGAGAACAATGAAGTAGCCAGCTTGAACTCTACACATGTGGGTCTGGTTGTTTGTGCCCGACAGACACTTACCTTTCTCCCGTGTGTAGCCCCACCCGGCAATGTAGCAATGGACCATGCTGGAGACGTCCACCGAGCTGTCCGGCAAACAGGCGGGCTGGATATAGTCGCTGCACTTGACGGGGTCATCCAACTCCACCAGGGCAATGTCATTGATCTGCTGGCGAGGTTGGTAGTTCTCATGCTGCACCACCCTCTTGGGGAAGCGGACCTCTGCATCGGGACCTGGGTGAGACAGTTTGCTTGTGCCAAGCACCAGTTCCCAATTGGTCAGATGCCTGGGACAGAGAAGAGCATGAGAGCTTCGTGGATTCCTGTCCCTCCACTACTGTATTGTCTACATCACCGTAAATCAGAGAAAACAGGAAGCTGTCCCAAGAGAACCCTCAGGGTAGAGGGAGAGTGGGCATCTTTGAGCAGCCTCAAAATAATGTGCCCCAACCTGTGGCTGAGATGAAGGAGAAATCAAGGAGAGAACCAACCTAGAACTAAGGAGAAATTTCCCAAGAGAACAATTAATCAGTGGAACACCTTAACTCAGAAGTTGTGGGTGCTCCAACACTGGAGGTTTTCAAGAGGAGACTGGACAGCCATCTTTCCAGAATGGCATAAGGTCTCCTGCTTGAGCAGGGGATTGGACTAGAAGACCTTAAAGGTCCCGTCCAACTCTGCTATTCTGTTGTTATGTGGCTATGAGGAAAGAAGTTGTTGGAGAATTCCCAGCCAGCAAGGAGGAGGTATCAAGTGGGGAGCTAGCCTTGAGTAACTGCGCAGCTGCAAGAGACTAGGACTTACTAAGTTCCTTATCTGTTTGTTTCCAAGAGAAAGAGAGCAGTCTGGGGAGATTACTGTACTACAGGTACACAAGAATAAAGTAGACAATTTGAAACTTTCCCATGTGGATCTGGTCACTTGGACCTGAGAGATGCTGTGCTCAAAGACACCAAGGCCATAGAGAGGCAGTAGAACCCACAGGGGTCTGCTCCCTCCCCTTGGCCAGTCCCCAGGGCCTTTCTAAGCCCCAAACTGGAACTCAAATCAATCTGAAATGCATCGTATTGCATAATCAGGAGTATTTACGGGTTGTGGTCAAGATAGCAGCTGTAATGAAGTGATTAAAGCTTCACATTTATTTATTTAGCCTATGGCACCTGCAGAGGTCAGGCAGTCATTAATATGCAAATACGTTTAAATAAAGCATCAGCAAATTAGAGAGAGAGAGAGAGAGAGAGAGATGATAGATGATAGAGATAAATAGACAAATGCAGACAGACAGATAGACAGACAGACAGACAGATAGACAGATAGACAGACAGACAGACAGACAGACAGACAGACAGACAGACAGACAGACAGACAGACAGACAGACAGACAGACAGATAGATAGATAGATAGATAGATAGATAGGACAACACAATATACAAGATAAAATATTAAATGAAGATAAAACTATAATAAAATCACCTTAATATGGCACCATAGAGTCGCAATGGGATAGACAGGGCACAAAGTGCAGACTACCCAAGGGAACTGTCTGTCTTAATTCTGTCTTAAAAATCTGCACACACAGAAACCAAACTGGACAGTCGCCTCCCTTATGGTCAAACACTACAGAGGCAGCAATTAGATTCCTTGTCTGTTGTGCCCACGTGACGTTCCTATGAAACAGGTAACTCTTCCCACACGCCACCCGAGCTGCGCACCTGCCCCCCGCCCTCACCTGCTTTCACTCACCTGGTGTCCTTGAAGCAGTGGGCTGCCGTGAGGATCCACTTGGCGCCAATGAGCGACCCTCCACAGGTGTGTTGGTAGCCAGACTTGAACGGGGTCCGGATGCTGACTATCCAGGGCCAGGTCCCTGGCAGAGTGTCGATGCCTCCCACAATGGGGAGAGAGTGGCTGGGTGCCAAGGGGCGCCGGCC